AGAGAGAGAGAGAGAGAGAGAGAGAGAAAGTGAGAAGGGGGAGAGCCCGAGAGAAAGCGCCATACAAGGAAAGGGGGAGAAATAGCGCGAGCGAGAAAAATGGGGGAGTTGAGGGAGAGAGGTATATAGCGAGTCACAGAGAAAAAGAAAGAGAGAGATGGAAAGGAAGAGAGAGAGAGAAAGAGAAGGAGAGAGCGCGCGTGAGAGATAGAGAGAAAGAAAGAAAAGAGAGACAGAGAGAGAGAGAGAGAGAGCGAGAGCGGAAAAAGTAGAGAGGACGCGAGCAAGAGCGAGAGAACAAATCTACGATTTCATGCGCGAATCGGCTGCTGGGCAGTAATCCGCAGTAAATAATGACGGATGTTGCGCGTGTGAGAGTTATAGTGAGAACTTACCGCGCACAGCGACAGCACCGTAATACTGCTGCTCTGCTGGATATCGCATCCAAGTATGACAATGCTGCCATCATTCGTCAGGTTTATCTTCGGCAATATGATTTCCTGTAGACATCCATGGAAATGTAATAGTGCCTCTCGGCTTGCGCAATCCCGTACGGATGTTATGAGTTTGTTGTAATTCAAAACCACGATGTTGTTCAAACAACGATTTGCAAACGCGTTATTCACAGTGAAAACTAAAGCGTGTTGACATTCGATATAAACTATGGGTTCTACTTCAGCGAACCAGAAATGCATGGCTTCTGTATCAGTTAGTTACGCAACATGAACTTTGCACCATCAATAAAACATTTGTGTATTTCCGCGCAACGCAACGTTGCTAATAAAAGGTTGTTGCATTGCATGACGAATCCACAGAATCAGACGAGATACTTCTAATGTTCATATACTCGTAATCAATAGATTGTCGTATTTGTTTAACACGCGTCTCTTCAATCTGTTCTCACTGAGACAACTCGTAATATAACTTCAAAGAACTTCAATAAACATCTATTATTATCGAACCAACAGTGCAGAAGGCTTTATAAATTGAAAGCCCTGAGAGAATCATGCGTTCGTAACTATGCTATATTTCGTAGATTTTAATCACAAAACAAACGATGGTGCGATCCATACATTAACAAGCCCGACTCTTACATAATAATTATAGCTTTCGCAATAATGTTTGCAAGTCGTTTTCCCGATAATTCAATAAAACGAATCGAAATTTTAATTGACAATCGCATTCAATATCGATTACAATTAACACAATAAATGCTGCTGTTGTTGTTGCTGCTGCTGCTGATGCTGATGCTGCTACTACTGCTGGTAGTGATGTTGGTGGCTTCTTTGCTACGGGTGTGATTCTGTCTATGGACTTTCGTTAGTGAACATGCAAGTAGTTAATCATTATTATCGTAAGTGAATGTCACGCATTCGCAGGTTTTCGCTCATGCTAGAGTTCTTTTCTACTCTCCCGCCAGTTTTCGACTTTTCTCACGCGGCTAGGCGTCTGTCTATTCGCGCGCAAGCTGCCTAACGGAATAAAGCCGAGCTGTAGTGACGTGGAAAACCTATATCCATGTGACGATCGAGCTAGTGCGTACGGCCGCTTGTCAATCAGCGAGCTTGCCAATCATTCTTTCCCGCATTAGCCCCCTGATGTAGTTTTTATTCGTACCGCATTTACTGTCATTTTCTAATCACCGTCGAGTAATGGGAAAAGATGAGTGGAGAGGAACAGATGGTAATTCAGGCGGCGGCCTGCGATGATTTCTTCGCCCTGGTTAAATCAACGTTGTCACCTACCGCGGCTGGCACGTAGAGCAGATGCAGTCAGGAGTATGACGGGCGTTCGTTCGTCTGGCGACTGCCCGAAAGCATTGTTACCTCCCGAAAAACCTCGTTCAGAAGCGGTAACCGGTTGGAATGAAAAAGTATTAAAATGCCTATAACAGATTGTTGCCGCATACACCCCCCCCCTTCCCTCCTCCCTACCGCCCACGTTGAAATGATCGAAACAGGGTATTCTTTGTGTGCAGTTGAGACACGCGCTGCACTGCAGTATATGCAACTTTCGCCCTGCGTTGCAGGCGCACATTGTAAAACCGCTTTTTGTTGAATTCGTTCGTATTTCTTGATGTTGCCAAATGCGGTGCGTGCATGCGGGCGATGTTTGCGATGTCAAGCGCACGCACGCAGAGCGTGCCAACGATATCAATGACTGTGCAGTTATATTCTCGCAGCTATTTTGCCACGTCGTGACAAAACAGGTGAAATATCGAGCACATTGAATCATTTGATCGCTAAAATGCGCACGATCGTCGTTGTAACGGTGAAAGAGGCAGTGCGTGTATAGTTTACGTGCGGAGTTCGTGCATGGGTTACCACGGTGTGACGGTGAATGCTGAAAAACGCTGCAGTTCACGTTTGTGTGCACGTGTATTCAGCTCGCACGCACCATTGTACGCGTACACGCACGCACGCACAGACGTACGCACGCACAAACGTACGTACGTACGCACGCACGCACGCACGCACGCCAGCACGCGCGGACGAACGCAGACACATGCATGTACTCTAATGCAAGTTTCCATGTTTAATCTCGAGTGGTCCCAGTTGGCTGCGCAAATCATACATTTGCGCGCGCAAATTGCTAAAAAGTGAATTCATGCGTTCGAAAACTATAACATGGATCTTTATTAAGCATCTGCTTGTTTTAAAATTTCTCAAACAATTATTACGGGTTTAGATGTTTTTGTTTCGATTTACATTGAAATTAGTTTCATAGCGTAAAGTCGGCTTGATTAAAATGCAGTTTTGAAGCGTATGTATTTGCTGCTTAAGTAACGTGAATATTTGTCGTACTTATGCAGACGTAGAAGTTTTAGTAAAACAGAAATCTCAAAATCAGTTTCGAGTGATAGCGTAACAGTCACGTGACCGTTTTGCAAAATCAGATGCTGTAAATCTTTTGAAGTAAAACATAAATTAGCGCAGTTTCCAGGCTACCTGTGATGACGTCACACGAAGGCTTTAAGCTCCAGTTAAATACATTGACGAAACAGACGGCAAATCTACGAATCAAACTTAATTACTCTGATACGGAATAACAGTAGTTTCCTGCTTTTCTATCATGTGAAGTTTTTCACACGTGGTCCTACTTCTGTGGCTGACTATCCGCAAATGCCCGTTTATCACGAAAACTTCCATTTCGATTTTGTTTCTATCAAATAGGATACAATGGCCCATCTAATATTAATTGTATCTGAAGGTTTAGGCAGAGCAGTAG